CGGATGATAACTGTAGCCTCTAGAGCGTCCACAAGATTTTTCAAAGTGATCAAGAGTCATAACTCTGGCAGTAATTATCGGAAATCGCTGAAAATCAATAGGCTTATTCGTCTCATGACCTTAAACACAGTGTATAAATTTAAAGTCGATCAGATATTATCTTTAGCCTCTAGAGCGCCCACAAGATTTTTTTAAGTGATCAAGGGCCATAATTTTGGCAGTAATTATCGAAAATCGCTGAAAATCAATAGGCTTCTTCGTCTCATGACCTTAAACACTGTGTATAAATTTAAAGTCAATTGGATATTAACTGTAGCCTATAGAGCGTCCACAGGCAATTGTTGACCCCGGACCGACGGAAGGACGGACGGACGGACGGGGGCGACAACAATATACGACCACATTTCAATGTGGGCGTATAAAAAGTCCTTGTTATTTGGAGATTTTTGTTCAGACATAACAAAACCTGTAAAACGTTATATTAATATGCAATGAAATGAATTGAAAATGAAAATGTGGTTTCAACGACCTAATGTTTTGAACCGACTGGGCTAATGTAGTCGGGCATACACCATACAGTGTGCTATGATAGAAATTTTGTTTGAACAGCGACGCTATACGGCCTACTCTTATATCGAATTCCGCCGATGAGTACACGGAACCTTGGCTTTTCGTCCCATCCGCACGACTAAACACCGTCCCTCGCTAACAATCTGATTAACACACAGATCCTATTTCGTTTCGTTTTTTATTGTTCAAAATATCGTTTTACTTGTCTTCATAACACTAGGATCTGAAAGAGTTGTTATAAGACGTGTTCTGGTTGATATGAGGGATTAGCCAATAAAGCGGCCTGTTACGGCTAGTTCTTGGCGTGCGGTCCACAGAAGTGTGGGTAAACAACCAGAAACGTCAACGCTGATTGATTAATCAATGTCTGACCCTATAGGTTCAAAAGCCGCTCGTATGACCCCTACCGCGACCTTCCACTACACCCGGTCAGATTTTCATGTAGTGTAGGTCATAGAAAGTATAAATAAACGAAACGAAATATAGATCTGTATTTTAACCAGATTGCCTTGCTACGTCTTCCGTTCTGCACGATAACCACATCGGATGAACTTTTCATATTAAAGGAGCTAAATGGCTAACATTTGGGACCTAGAAATTGACAAAAGTGGGTCGCAACGCATATAATACTGTAATATGAATGTATATAAACTGATTTACATTCAATGGTTTCCGTTTTTACTCCAATTTCAAATCAGTTATGTTCGGCAAAATAAGCCAACAGTCTCAAGCGAGTGCAAATTTCTAGCGTCTGGTTATTCCAGTCTACATAGACCGTTTGATTTGGTGCAATGTGTCTAGCCTCGTCCCTCGAGTCTCTTGATACAACTGGGGCTGAAGCGCATTATGGTACACGATTCGTGTACCAATGGTAAAATGTTTATTTTGTCTTAAATATTGGATATCAAAAGCCCATCTTTTTCCGGTAAGATCACAACATCAATGCTGATTTAATTTGACAAATAAATCGTGTTTTCAATGTTGAAGATTTGGGATGATATTGAGTTAGAGACTTAGCTACTTTAATATGACCATTGCACAGTTACTTTTTAGCCCCAGTTCAATCCATCACAGCTTGCAATGTATTTCCCATGTCAAGATATCGTAATCATTACTCAGAGGAACCATTAACAAAGGCATGTTTTTGTTCCAATTACAAATATAAATACCGGTATCTCCCAGATCGCATATTATATGTCATGAAAATACATTATTGCATAACCGTGTGTATGTAATCTATGTAGTCTGAAGAATATAACTCTATGAGAGTCCCGGGAAATTGTATTTTTATTCTTTGAAGAGGCTTATCGTGATGGAGTAGTCTGGGTTAGAGATCTTAAAACATAATTACTCAAATGAAATGGGGTTTAACGTTCTACGTACGCCAATGTGACAAAGTGCTCCATAACTTTTATCAAATTTAGACCATAACCTATACATATAAAATAGTAATATTATTGATAAAATACGATATAGACTTGAAGAGGAGACAAGCAGAGACGAGTTGAGACGAGCTTATGATGGGCTCATCTGTTATTGATAATATACGATATAGACTTGAAGAGGAGACGAGTTGAGACGAGCTAATGGGCTCATCTGTTATTGATAATATACGATATAGACTTGAAGAGGAGACGAGTTGAGACGAGCTAATGGGCTCATCTGTTATTGATAATATACGATATAGACTTGAAGAGGAGACAAGCAGAGACGAGTTGAGACGAGCTTATGGGCTCATCTGGGTTTAGTCACTGCCGTGACAGGGGACGAAATGATTGTTTTTAAGTTTACCTTCCTAGTAATGTACCGTGTTTGTGTTCCTTTATATATGTCCCTGTTTTATTGTTCTTTGTTCCCGACTAAATATACACGAAACTGATGTTCTGTTATACCCTGATAGTGTTTCACCAACCGGGCTAAAGAAGATGAACACACATCATGCAGTGTGCTATGTGGGCTTTCCCAGGCCAACGGGTTAATCTCGGTGCTTCACAGTCTAATTTCCACTTACAAGTGATGTAGGACAGAGGGCCTGGCATGTAGGAAACAGGGCCTAGCATGTAGGACAGAGGGCCCAGCATGTAGGACAGATGGGCCAGTGTAGTACAGAGGGTTCGACATGTAGGACAGATGGTCTGGCATATTGGCTAGAGGGCCCGGCTTATAGGTAAAGAACAGTGTAAGTCGTTCAGGCCGACCGAGAAACCCAGTTCCCGTGTACACGTTGGCATGCACCTAAAATCGAGGTAAACGATGATAAGTTGGCGGGAAATCTGCTGTCAGAGCAAAATGTTCCTCGTGGCACATTGTAAGCGACTGATCGTCGTTAGCTCTGTTGCTACAGAAAAACCTATTTCATTTCATATATTGTGAAAAAAAATTGCTTCGAGCAAAATAGTTTCTATGGCCGTGGACTTTTTTTGATCAACCTAATCACTTGTCTATGCTAGACATAAAAATACCTGGATATACGCATCTATCAAAGTTCCAGCCTTGGGATCAGTGTTAAAGATACATTTAATCTGTCTATTGCAGGTCTTACTTTAGGCCTAAAATGTTATATAAACTATTAATTAAACATTTTTTAACATGAAAAGACCTTAATCAACTCTCGATGATATCTTATGTATCAGATTTCACTAGATATGAATCCGATTTACTGCTCAACGCTCAAGGATAATGGATAATCAAGACTATGTTTTTTTTTTATCGTACCGACTTTAGTAATGATCATCGAGGCTAGGCCTAAAGTTCAATCGCTAATATCTCGGTTCAGAGTGGCGCAATTTGACTGGAATTTTTAGCATATTACATTATCTAATTTTTAACTATAGTGATAACTGGCGACTGCTCCTTATCTAATCGTCCATATTGCCCCTTTAATAAAGCAGAAGTATTTTTATTATCTCTCTAGCTACGATCGCCAACACGTGTTGTTGATGTAATTTAGATTAGAAATAAAACGGTGTTTAATGACAAGGCAGCACTAACCGAGGAACATTTAGATTAGATCAGAATCAATCTATCTTAAATCTTGAACATTTGGCAATGGAATTATTAGATTTTCTTTTGGTCTATCAATCAAAAGACCAAGGGAAATATTGGTTTTTGTTGGTGCAAGGGCGGGGGCTGAAATTGGAGGTAACTGATTTTTAAAGATTTTGATATTTTGGATTCAACAGATATGTAGTAGTTTTCGATAGATATGTTTTCAATGGCGTCACATACTACTATGACGTGAGTTGCACCTTGTGAAATGGAAGTAAATATTCAATGTATAATATGATACAGAAACGTCTCTAAAAATTAAGGTGTTTTAAATGAAATGGGGTTTAACGTCCTACTGTTCTGCTCCTAAACTGGGCTGATGGAGACGGGTTTTTTTTTAAATATTAAAAATGTGCACTATGCTAAAAACTCCATGGCGGAGAGTCTTGTCGTTCGAATGGTGTGAAAAGAACCATTGCCAGTTGGAATTCGAAACCCGTCTTCATTAGTTGGGCTGTGCAGTAACGTAGGAAGTTAAACCCTATTTCATTTACCAATTTAAAAAAGGGTTTAATCTCACTGTGCCCCCCAATCAACTGGTGTTATAGGGTAGTGGTGTGAAAATTTAAGTAAACAAAGGATTATAGACTGTATCCTTATTAGTACTGTTCACCTAGTTAAAATTTAATTATTTTAATGATTAAAATATATAAGTTAAGTTCACGTGTCATCGGTTAACGAGTATCTTAAATATTATTCACCTACCTTTCATTCAGACAGTACTCATAAATCAATCAAATATATGATTAGAAACTCACTATATAAGGATAGTTGTCACCCCCAATTACATTATATCTTTTAAAATGGCTCAAGTTCGCATAGGGTTTATTCCTAATTCTCAAGGAGGTCAAAATTTAGTTAATTTGGGGTATAAGTACAGAGTAAAAAATACGAAACCCAATAGCACCAGCAGACTTTTACTGAAAATACAATAGTTCAATTGGATAACGGGGGACGATTGCCCCCTAAAAGACAAAAATATAAAAGAGTAGAAGAATCTATTAATGATCTAAAAATCAAACTGTTAAATGGAGTAAAAAGTGCAATTGAATATACTGACGCCCTATCACATTTAGTAGGGTTATGATTTATGTTTGATACATGTATTTGTTGTTACTTTTATGAAATTTATTGTGAATAAAGTTGTTAATTAGTTTAAACCTAGTAGTTAAAAAAACCAGACTATACTTTTAACACCATTGTATTCGATAATCCCCTTACTTGATTAATCCCCCCCATGAGAACAATAGCAGGGGACACACTGAGATGTCCCCTAAAAAAGATAGAAGTTTGATAATTAATTAATTGTGGTAAGCTAAATACCACAAAATAAACACAAAACACAACAAAAGAAAATTAAAACAATAACAAAGATCACTTACCGTACATAACAAGACCACAACATTACTTGTACTTCCAAACAGCATTTTGTGAGAGAATATGTTTATCACATTACTTACATATGATATGATATACTATAACGTTTGGTTTGTACAATACCCCTGCCTATTTTAAACGCTACACACAACATTAATTCAACTTTTTTTATCCCCTTTATTTAAAGCGGTTATCGTAGAGCATGCGCAAAGTTTGTGATGTTATGATAAATGAGGGGTATACTTCCTCGCTGATGAGGGTTTTTTTTATTTTAATTCAAACACAAATTACTTGAAATAAACACATTATATTTCACAGGGTCCTGTGGGTTTTGGATGCAAGGAGGTAATGGTAAACTAAAGATATAAATACACCACTTCTTCCCAGTTTTAAGATAAACATAATTTAAAACTTTGATAACCATTCAAGTAGTGAAGCGTGTCAGAATTTAAAGGGGCGAAACTGTACTGTAGTTAAAATCAGTCTCTGCACCGTCAACAAACTGAAACATTGGTCAAGGCAGCGAGAGAGAGAGAGAGAGAGAGAAAGAGAGACAGAAAGATTGTTTCGTCAATATTTGTGCTGGATTAATCGATACAAGATCATGATAAGGAAATTGTATAAATAAATAAACCGTTGCGAGCATTAAGGGCTTTGTGCAAAGGTGTGAAAGGACTGCAGGTTGCTATTCAGCGCACGAACTGACATCGACATATTATTTAGTAGGAAATGGGAGAAAGAGAGAGAGAGAGAGAGAGAGAGAAGACAGAGAGAGAGAGCGGGTTAACGTCCACTCTACACAAATTAGGTCATTTTGGGACTAACATATGGTTCAAATTTTCATTTTTTCTATAATACGCTTACGCGTAGGAGATTTTAGCAGTGGGAGGAAACCGGAGGACCTGGCGCATATCCACGAGGTTGGACATGTGATCCTACTCCTTGTCACGTACAAGGGGGGAATCGAAACCGCGCCTCAATGTCCTACTGTTCTGCTCCTATGCTGGGCTAACGAAGGCGGGCATACGCCATACAGTGTGCTATGAGGGAAATTTTGCCCGGGCAGCGGCACTATCGCCTACTCTTATATCGAATTCCAACTACCAAGGGATCTTTTACGTGCATTCCAATGTATACACGGGACCTCGGTTTTACGTCTCGTCCGAAGGACTGGACAGGTGTCCTTATCAGGCCCTCTGTCCTGCATGAACTTTCTCGGCCAATGTAGGGATCGAACACCCGACCTCCAGGCTAGCGGCTAGCGGCCAGCGGCCAGCGCCTTACCCACTTAGCCACGTGATCCCCGAACCTTTTTTGTTGCAGAACAGTAGGACGTTAAAACCCATATTTCTTTATTTAGAAGGATATGGCAGACTGTATTTTTCTTATACAAAAACACCAGATACCAATGGTAGACTGTCTGTATTTATTTAACTGTTTCAATAATTCAATGTTCCATTAGTAAATACATGACCATGAAGAGTACGAGATAGTGAACTTGTTTTGACCGATGGTTAGTTTGTCCATCGTATTAAATTAAACACGATCAACACGATCGCATCACGAGTAAATACAAGTCTGAACTAGTTATTGACTGACATGTATAATTACTAGCTGATAATCACTGTAAACACAGAGAGAGAGAGAGAGAGAGAGAGATAGAGAGGGATGGGTTTAACGTCCTAGGTCATTTCGGGACTAACATGGTTCAATTTTATTTCAATAATTCGCTTGCGCGTAGGGGTCTTTAGCAGAGAGACTACGGCCTACTCTTATTTCGAATGCCAACTGTCAAGGGTTAAAGTGCACGTCAATGTGTACACTGACAATTCGAAACCACGCTTGCACGTAAAAGATCTCTTGGCAGTTGGAATTAGTAATAAGAGTAGAACGTAGCGCCGCTATCCGGGCGGAATTTTCCTCATAGCACACTGCATGGCGTATGCACGTCGCCATTAGCCTAGTGTGCGCAGAAAGGTAGCACGTTAAACTCCATTTCATTTCATTTTCCATTGCACACAGCTTAAAGGTCACCGGAAAAACTTCAAATTTGTTTTTTGAATATTGGAGAGAGATGCGTTAAGTTTTATTCTAAAATTCGCTTGCGGGGAAACCCATCGGCATCCAATCCATTGAGATCGAAATCAATGGTAGACTTTAACTTGTGATGCACAGTGCACGCCTTAGACACTTCGGTCACAACAACCTTTGACAGTTGGAATTCGAAATAAGAGTAGGACTGACACGCGACCGTTTAGCCGTAAACAGTTGCCCAGTAAAATTGACTGGGAAGGGAAACTTTTTCGACAAGGATTCAATAAGACGGTTCCGGAACGCACAGAGCGAGTGTAATGAGACCTACGTTCAGACCCGAACTAGTTAGATATAAACAATGCGCCATAATTAGATCGCTCAACATCCAGGATATGGATGGGTTTTCCTTTTTGCTATATTTCCATTATATTTTATTTCTCAGATAAAATGTAGCTATTTAGTCTTGCGTGTTGTTAATGATTTATTTCTGGTCTCGAAAATCACATAAAAAAACAAAACTATTAGAATCAAACTGCTGGATATCATTCACTTTGTCTCGTCCATGTTATTTCTATAGTCTGATATTCGTTAAATGAAAACTGAACTAGAACACAGACACGACAAACAAGGGTGGTAGCCTTAAAAATGGATAAAACTTCCGGGTAAATAAAAAGATTTATTTAAAGCCTCAACACGTCATGAAAGAAATGAAATGAAATGAAACTGTTCTACTCCGACGTACTGGGCTAATGAAGACGGGCATACGCTATGAGGGAAATTTTGCCCGGACAGCGGTGCTACGGCCTGCTCTTATATCGAATTTCAACTGCCAAGGGATTTTTACGTACACACCTATGTGTACACGCGACTTCGGTTTTCGTACCATCAGTACGACTAGACAGCTGTACTTGTCAGCCCCTCCACCCTGCACCACTGACAAGGGGAAACCAGGCCGCAAAATCCCGATGAACTTTCTCGGCAAAAATCAGAAGCGAACCCGCGACCCGTCAGTTCAGGGGCCTTATATAAACTTAGACTAAAATCTCTGCGCGTGATTTGTATCGTAGGGTGGTACGGGTGGATGAGGAGTTAGGATTCACCAAAATAATTGCGGCTTTTGATGATATGAAAAACAAATCGACCCACGGTGGCTCATTGGGTGAGACGCTACTTCACTAGTCCAACCTCGTGAGTTTTCTCCGGGTCCTCCGGTCTCCTCCCACTGCTAAAGACCCCTACGCGTAAGCGAATTCTTGAAATAAAATTAAACCATATGTTAATCCCGAAATGACCTAGTTTGTGTCGAGTGGACGGTAAACCTCTCTCTCTCTCTCTCTCTCCCTCTCTCTCTTTCTCTCTCTCTATGACCCGGAGAAAACCCACGAGGTTGGACAGGCGATCCTACTCCTTGTAACGTACAACCGGGAAATCGAAACCACGCCAGTTGACTAAATGACAGACCTTATGATACAGCGCGCACGTGCTAACAATTCGACCATCCAACCCCTCTCAATAGAATAAAAAAAATTAAAGTCATGTTAAAATATTCCGTTACATATATATGTGTGAGCTTTTTATAAACACTTCCACAAACCTCCTATAACACCGAAAGATGCATAGTCACGTTGTTGTCAAGGGGGCGTGGCTACTGATAAGTTCTTTAGATCTGTGCCGGTTTCCTCCCACTGCTAAAGACCCCTACGCGCAAGCGAATTATTGAAATTAAATTAAACCATATGTTAGTCCCGAAATGACCCAGTTTTTGTCGAGTGGACGTTAAACCCCATTTTTCTCTCTCTCTCTCTCTCTCTTTAGATCTGTGTTGTTGATGTTTTTTGAGGGGGTTTATGGGGTTTTCAGCTTGAACGCAATTAATGTATGTTTAAAATATAATTATATCTTATATCCACTGACCGAAATACGTCAATGATTTAAACTTGTAAGATTTTTCTGTGGAATACATTATATTAAAAATAATATATGTTGAATACATAGATAGACCACAAGCAATCTGATTAAAACACAGATCCTATTTCGTTTCGTTTTTTATAGTTCAAAATTTCGTTTGACTTGCATTCACAATACTAGGATCTGGAAGAGTTGTTATATAACAGGCGTACTAGTTGATGTGAAGAATTGGCCAATGAAACGGTCCGTTACGGCGAGTTCTTGACGTACTCTGCACGGAACTGTGGGTAAACCCCTAGAAACATCAACGCTGATTGATTAATCAATGACTGACGTCATAGGGTCACAAGCCGCTCGTGTGACCCCTAACGCGACCTCCCAATACAACTGGTCAGATCTTCGGGTAGTGTAAGCCATCGAAAGTATAAAAAAAAACGAAACGAAATATAGATCTGTATTTTAATCAGACTGAAATGATATATATTGAACACATAGGGCCGGTCGAATGGTTTAACATGTGCGCGTTAGATCACCAGGTCTGCTATTGGGCTATAAGGTCTGTCATTGTGTCAAAATGGCGTGGTTTTGATTCCCCGCTTGTATGTGACAAGAAGATGGGTCGCCTGTCCAACCTTGTGGGTTTTCTCCTCGACTTCTGATTTCCTCTCACTGCTTAAGACCCTACGCACAAGCGAATTATAGAAATAAAAAATATGTTAGTCCCGAAATGACCTAGTTTGTGTCGAGAGGACGTTAAACCCCATTTCTCTCTCTCTCTCGTGTGAAATGAATATGAACTATATTTTAGTCCCGTAATGACTTACTCTCTCTCTCTCTCTCCCTCTCTCTCTCTCTCTCTCTCTCTCTCTCGTTATATTTCAATAATGAGAATTTGCTTCGGCTTTCTATCACGAAGCCTCTTTAAAAACTTATTACTACCCCATATCTTCTGTTTATTTACACACTGTCCCACATACCCGAATATAATTATGTCTTTGTGAATAAAATTTTATGTTATTTTTATGTTGTTAGACATCGTTAAAATATATAACAAATAAGATGTAAGTCAACGTGGCCCTGGTGGGTGTCACTGGCCCACTAACTAGAAGGTTCAATCAACTTTAGCTTTGTTTTAAATCGTTTGTCATTGAGTCAACAGGTTCAGTCAACTCCTTGTTTTAAACAAATGAAATGAAATGAAATGGGGTTTAACGT